CAGAGCTGAAGACGCAGAAGAACATCTGCTATGTTGCAAGAGCCCAGCGAGGACCAAGAGTAAAATCTGCCATTGAGTTGTTGTCAGAAGCTCTCAACAATCCGAGTCAGCTCTGACCTTCTGGAAGGTTCCACATTGCCACCCCCATCCCCTGGCCCCAACAGAAGTCTCCTGTGGCCCCGCACCTCCTGAAAGCTGCAGCAGGGACTCCTCCCTACCCCTTTCTTCCCTGGGGGGTTTGGAGGACGAGGACCCCCCTCCTGTGGCCTTCAGACCAGCTGCCCTGCCCTTTCAGAATAGGGGATTGGCGCCTGACTCAAGTTTCTCTGTGGCTAAGGCTGGCTTTGCAAGCGTGAAATTGCCCTTGGGGTCTGCAAGGGATCCATTTCATGCAGGTGGGGTGAGAAAGACATGAGCCCCAACTGGCTGAGGCCTGGGCTGCCCCATGGGGCAAAGCACTCTGGCCAGGCGAGCAGCTGTGGGCACACGTGGGTGTATGGACATGTGTGTGCATGTGTGGATGTGCATGTGGGTATGTGTGTGTGTACCTGGAGAGAGCAGCCGTGATGATGAAGCCTCCACTCTAGGGTAAAGAATGGTTGGAGGAGGCTGGAGTGATAGTATAGCAGGTTTGCCTTGCACATGGCCAGCAGAGGGTTTGATCCCCAGGACCCCATATGGGCCCCTGAACACCATCAGGAGTGATCCTGGAGCACAGATGCTGGGTGTTGCCAGCAAACAAACAAAAGAATGATTGAATATCCCTCCCCCATTCAGTAATGGTCCCAAATCCCCAAAACGATGTTCTTAGGGCAGAGAGCACTATTCTCTCTCTCTCTCTCTCTCTCTCTCTCTCTCTCTCTCTCTCTCTCTCTCTCTCTCTCTCCGTGTGTGTGTGTGTGTGTGTGTGTGTGTGTGTGTTTGGGGTGAGGGAGGGGAAAGACTGTCCCCTGGCCTGTCCTCAGTGTCTCACCAAGTTGGAGAGACCGATTCTGACACGAAGGCTAAAGGCAATGACAGCAAATGACTTGGGTCTTGAGGCCCCTGTATCACCCTGTGTTCCAAGTCCAAGGATGTTGCCTAGAATCAGGATGGCCAGGACTGAGTATTGCTGGTGGAGCTCATGTCAATGAAGCAAGATGGGGTCTGGAAGGAGTCCTTTGTGGGAGTTGGGTCTTGACACCTACTGTGCATTCCGTTCCCCTCTGGAGGGAGACAGAGGGATCTGATGCCTGGGCTGTGTCCTACCCCACAGACACCAAGGAAGGATGGAGGTGAGGCCCCTGTCCAGACCTGCGATGAGGCTCGTCCCTTGTCAATGAGATTCGTGAGGCAGGGACGGGTCCCTTTACCTCTCAAAGGGATAGGAGGCTCCACAAGATTATGCCAAGGCAGGGAGAGGGTGTTGGAAAAAGCTGCTGCCATGGAAAATCTGGGTGCTGGAGAAAACCCCCAAACAAGAGTCAGAATAACCTCTCATTGGCTGCAGGGGTTACCAGGGAGTTCCTTAAAGGCTTTGTTAAAGGGGTAAAAATTTCCCCTTTAACCCTCTTAGTCACCTTCTGCCAATGTCTGGCCCAGAACCTCTCCCAGGAATTTTTATCCCCGATCTGATGACCCCAGCCACAGGCAGAGAGCAGCTAGTGCTCCGGGTTAAAGGGGAGGGAGGATGGGGTGTGAACCACTCAGCTGCCTCAGACCTCTGACTTCTGAGTTTCCCTCTTGTGATGAGAAGACCAAATCGGGGCACTGTAGACTACAGGGAACCCCAGCCTGGCCTGCTGGTCATCCGCAGGCTGGGACAAACCCACCAACTCCCTGGGAGGTCAGTAAGGGACCAGAGATGCTCAACACTGGGTCCAGAGCCACCCTTCCTCTCCTGGACTCCTTCCCATGCTCCCGGGTTGGACGCCTACTTCCCACTGGGCCTTTCCAGTCCCTTTTACCTTCAAATGTCAAGTGGGAATTGTATGCTCTTGCTCCTTCAGCTTACAAACAGTTTCATGTATTAGCTCTTAGGTTACAGATCAAAACTCTTGATGGTCCAATTGTCCGAAGCCCCTCCTGCTGCCCCCTCCCGAGCACTCCAAGCCCCCCACACCCCCCAACCCCCATCCATCTGGGTCTCTGCCTCTTCCTCCCTTCCGCTTGCCGCTGGCCAGAGGCCCTGCCATCCACCCACCTTTGTGTCTATTCGCAGGCTAAGAGGGCCAGGCCCAGGGCGCTGAGGTGGTCAACATCTATTTGTTGAATAGGTTAGACGCTGACTCCCAGAGCTAAAACATTACATTCAGGTGCCCCGTGCTCTGTACGCACTTGAGTGTAATGTAACCACCCCATGCTCTGAACAATGCTGTGACCCTTGTAGAACTGTCAGGGCCTGAGTTCCTGCCAGGGTCTCCGCTTGTTCCTCTACTCCCCGCAAATCCCTGAGCTAGCCAGGCTAACCCTTCCCTCCCGAGAAAGATCACTTTCACCAGGAAGCCCTCCTGGCTGTGTGAATGCCAGGGTTCCTCCTGCTCCACACTCTCAGTGGGGGGCACCCCATGGCAGCATGTGTTACCTCTGTCCCCATCTGTCTGGGTCGGTTCCAAACCCTGATTGGCATCTCCAGTATTCCCTACGTCTGTATGATTCTGCGTGTTTGTGGGCCCCGGGGATCAGCTTGACTGGCAGTCGAAGGTTTCATGGCACATATGCCCCCGTGGAAAGCAGTCATCTGGGTGCACCCCTTGGAGAGGTGGAACATCGTCTCTAAGCTTGTGTGTTTAAGTGCTTAAAGCTCTGAGAATGGTGAGTTGCATGAGCTGATGTCATGGGACTGTCCATTCCTGACCTTTGAGGCCCAGCTGGACCCTGGGGGCCCTGCCCTGCCAAGTGGGAGCTGGAGGAGGGGGGAGGCGAGGCGGGGCGGGGCGGGGCAAAGGAACCAGAGTCTATATCCTACCAGGGCTCCCTCCTGCAGTCATGCAGAGCTGCCGTGGGAGGGAGCAGGCAGGAGGCTGAAGGCTGCCTGAGTACAGGTGAGTGGGCCGCACCCCCCTGCACCCCACGGCCTGCCTCGACCAAGGAGGGGCAGAGAGGGAAGTGTTGGCACCATCTCTCACAAGGAGTGGTTCAGCAAGGGGCCGGCAGTGGGCATGATGCCAGCCCCTGGACGCTTCTGTGACTGGCAGTTCATGCCCCGGTAGGCGACTGCAGGATGCCCAGTGGGGTGTGGGTGGGGTGAGTTTCAGAGTCCTGCCTGGACGCGTCTGTCCTGACTCTGGCTGTTCTGGGCACTGCTCGTCAGAGAGTATGAAATGAGAAGCAAGTTCAGCATCTGGCTAGTGGTCAGAGTCAGGACTCGGGGCTGGGACTGGCCCTGTTTTGATCTATAGCCTGATGAACAAGCCAGAGAGAAACCCCATCCTCCTGTCTTGGATCCTAGCACTTGACGGGCTGGGAGTGGTAGGAACCTGGGTCCCAGGACGGGGCAGGGGTTGAAGTCCTCAAGAGAGACCAGCCCTGAGGTAAGGACACAGGCAGATATTCAGGGCTGCAAAGGATTTTTGGGGGGGCTCACACCCAACTGGGCTCAGGGATTATTCTGTGCTCAGGAATCATTCCTAGTGGGCCCCAGGGACCCTATGTAGTGCCAGGACTGAACCTGGGTTGGCCATGCACAAGGCAAGTGCCCCATCCATTGTACTATCACTCAGGCCACAGGATTTGTTTTGTTTTGTTTGCTTTTTGGGTCACACCCGGCAATGCACAGGGGTTACTCCTGGCTTTGCACTCAGGAATTATTCCTGGCAGTGCTTGAGGGACCATATGGGATGCTGGGAATCAAACCCGGGTTGGCCGTGTGTGCAAGGCAAATTCTCTACCTGTTGTCCTATTGCTCCATCCCCCAGGATTCATTTTTTTTGGGGGGGGGCTGGGGAGATAACACAAAGGGCTGGACCCCTGGGTCAATTCCTGGCACTGCATGGTGCCCAGAACTCCTAGGAGTGACCCCTGAGCATTGCTGGAAATGGACCACAAAGTAGGGCTTCTCTAGTGTGTGACTGAGCCCTGGAGGAGACAAGCTTTCCTTCCGGGCTCCTTCCCGGGGACCCCGTCTTTCTAGTCTGCCACCAAAGAGATCTCCTGCCGTCTTGTCACAGAGCTGTGTCAAACATGACTGATTTCTGGAAAGAATGGAGTTGGGGGCTGGAGAGATCGTCCCGCAGGGAGGGCACGTGCTTCACATTCAGCTGACCCTGGTTTGATTCTCAGCGCCCCATATGGTCTCCTGAGAACTGCCAGGAGTGATCCCTGAGCACTGCTGAGGGTGGCCCCGAAACAAAACAATACAGAGAGATCATTCTGCATCTGTCCCTTTTCCTACGTCTGACTTCACTCAGTGAGATCCTCCAGTTCCATCCATGTTGCTGCAGCTGGTGCAGTGTTGCTCTTGCCTGGAGCTGCACGGCAATCCCTATGTAAATACATCACAACCCCTTGCTCTTTCTATCTGTAGTTCATCATTTGGGTTATCTTGGCCCTTGTACAAAGTGTGGTGATCTCACATGCAATTCTCTTCTCTTCTCAGAGTTCCGGAACCCAGAGCTATCTCAGGTGAGAGGGGAACCCCCCAACCCCAGATGGGGGCGAATAGGAGACAGGGACCCACACAGGTCTTGGGAGGCAACTCTGCCTCTGTTTATTTAAGTTTTGTCTTTGACTCGCTTTCCCAAATAAAGGAACACAGCTCCTGTGTTCCCGCTCCTCCTGCCCTTCCCAGCGACCCCCAACAGCCCCTTCCTGGGGCCCTTCTCACACAGATGGAGAATCAGGCCCCGGCACCACAAGAAAATCCCAAAGTGCTGTTCCTGGGGATGAACTATGACCTAGAGCTTCTGCCCAATGGGGAGGTGGAGAGGGGGTATTTCAGGGGCTTCCTCATAAAGTGGGTGGGAGGTTGCTCTGTTCCGTGAGGAAGGGCGCCCCATCTGTCTGTCTGCCACCTCCTCCAGGGAAGCCCCTAGAATCAGCCTGCACCCCCGGGATGAGCGTGCGACCACTGGAGGTGGAGGTCCCGGAAGGATGCAGCCCACCTGGCTTCCGGCAAAAGCCCATCACCCTGGCTTTGCAGGAGGGTAAGTCGGGGAGAGGCACTGACCCCCGCCCCCCACATCTGTGCACACAGTGCAGGGACCTTGGAATCCTCATCTCACCAGGCCTGAGTCCATCCGCAGGTCACATGCAGGTGGGGGTGCCCCCTGGGTTCCCATAGGGAAAGGGACCTAAGGGACGGAAGGATTCAAGAGAGCAAAGGGACAGCACAACGTGCCACTGTGAGAATGACCTGGGGAATGGTGCGGCAGGCACGGGGAGGACCTGGGGCTCCCAGTTCCCTCCCAACCCCCACCCTCCCAACCCCCCGCCTAGAAGCTGTCCTGCCAAGAGGCCCCATAAGGTCCCTGGAGACCCAGTTTCTCATCTCCCCCTCCTAAGGCTGTGACACCATGTGTCCAGGAGCCCACTCTAGAAGGCCATGGGAGCTGTGCCAGGGAAACTATGGGAGAGGGGCGCAGGTGAGCCTGTGGGCGGCAGACTGGCCCCTCTGAGCAGCCTCAGTTTGCAATGGAGAGGCACTAGGGGCCTGAGCCCCAGGCAAGAGACCGACCCTAGGGATGGCCTTGAGTCTTTATTCTCTTGATTGAGAGACCCCTGGGCAGCCGGGGGCCTTGAGAGTCAGCTGCTCTAGGCTTTCATGCCAACCAGGGAACTCTGGGGGCCTCAGCTGCAGTAGGACCCTGTATCCGGGGACCAGCTCCTTTGGGCCCCAAATTCCTTCTTCTCCAAGGTGACTGGGGCCCCCAGCAGGAGAGTGAGAGTGGGCGGCCCTCTAACCCTCTGGCTCCTTCCTCTCTAGTCCTGAGAGTCCTTCAGACCCCTGATCCCTCCCCCTGGCAAAGAAATGCCCAGCCCCATCCTGCCTGAGCTCCTTTCCCAGAAGGTTGGTGGGAGGCAGCCCTCTGTCAGGCACCCAGGTTCTGAGGTTTCCAGCCCTGGGCATGTGCCACTGAGTCCTCAAGCCAAGGGGGCAAAGGCATGGAGCACTTCCCAGGACAGGAGAGAACCCCGCGACGTACATGCCTGGGACCAAGTCCAGGGCCTCACCGGTCACACACACGTGGCCACGAGGCACCCCCAGCCCTGCAGTAAGGCTTTATTCCCTTTTAATTCTTTTGGGTACCACATTTGGCTGTTCTCAGGGCTTACTGCTGGCTCTGTGCTCAGGGATCCTGGTAGGGCTCGGGGGACCTTATGGGGTGCCGACATCAAACCTGGGTCGGCTGTGAGAATGGCAAGTACCTTAAGCACTGTGCTGTCTCTCCATCCCAGTCACATTTTCTTATTTGACTTTTGGTTTGGGGCCACATGGGGCAGGGCTCCAGGGCTGCTGTTGGCCAGGAGTTCGGGGGTCACTCCCAGCAGTGCTAGGGGACAGCGTGGTACAGAGACCAAATCTCAGCTGCCCACGTGCAAGGCCTGGGCTTTAGCCCTTTGAGTGACCTTCCTGACCCAACTCAAGGCAGGATCTCACTGGAGTCACACTGCCGCCACCACCCCCTGGCCTTGCCAACCCCCTGCCTGCCTCTCCCTGTGCAGGGAGGACCGCCACCTTCCGGGCCCTGGTGTGTGGGGAGCCCAGCCCCGAGGTGTACTGGGAGAACAGCACCGGCAAGCTCAGCAGTTCCAGCAAGTTCCAGATCTCCTCTGGGCCGGGCAGTGGGGAGCACATGCTGCAGGTGGGAGCCCCGTGCCCCAAGCCCCATTCGGCCACCACATGTCCCATCCCCAGCCCCTGAAGCTGCTCTCCATGGAGACCTCTGAAATCAGAGGCCTGAGTGATAATCCCAGACACCTCACCCCACTCCTTCCCCTGCCATCTTGGTCTTGGAAAGCACTGGACATCCCTGTGCCTTGGTTTCCCCATCTGTGAAATGCGTTCCTGGTAGACAGTACCTACTCAATGGGCTTATGTAAAGTATTTGTGTTAGTGGTTCTGTTGACTCTGCCTGCTTGTGGAAAACCATCTCTGTGCTTGGGCCTAGCTAATCATGTAATCAGGCAACGGGACTTAATCCTGAACAGCTATGGTTTTGTGAGGCAATATTAGCTTCATCTTAGAAGAAAATTAAGATTCAGAGAGGTTAGGTCACTTGCCCGAGCATGCACAGCACACTCTACATGAGAGACTTTATTCAATCCAAGAACTACTTAAAAAGGGGGGGGGGGCATATTGTCTCAGGCGACAGTCATCCATCCACTCTCTGAACCCTGATATTTTCTGGAGGGAGGTCTGTCTTCCTTGATGAGGACTGTGGGTTCAGGAAATCCAAGAGGCCATCTTGTCTAGCTTTGCAGCCCTCACCCTTAGCGTGGAGGAATTAGGGGCTCGGGGGGTGCAAAACCCGCTGCTCTGCCCTTGCGCCTGCAGATCCTCAAGCTGACGGGAGAGGACACGGGCCTGTACCGCTGCAGAGCCGCCAACAAGTGGGGCCAGGCCACGTGCTCCGCGAGGCTGACTGTGATTGAAGGTGGGTGACCTGGCCTGGCTCAGCACCGCGGCTTCGGCCGACCCCTGGGCGAGTCTGAAGAGAAATCAGAGGCCTGGTGGGGCGCAGGTGACCGGATGGGGCAGAGACAAGGGGTGCTGCTTCCCCCACACGCCCCACTCCCTGCACCCAGACCATGGATGCTGCCAACAGCCCTGGGAGACACAGAGCCGTGCCTGTCCCCGGCCGAGAGGGGCACAGGAGACCTGCACTGTGGGCTCCTTTGAACTCTTCGGGGGCTGGTTTTCTGCTTGGGGCCTGCTCACTACTGCACTGCACGGGCCTCCCCCTCAGGCCAGACCATCTCTCCGACTTGTTTGCATAGTGTTTCCCATGAGGGGGTCACACCCCAGTACCTCAGGACCAGATGCAGTGGGGGGGGGGTCGTCACACCAGGCTAGCTGTGGGCAGGCAGGCACTTAGCCCCCTGGTAAGGCACTGTATCTTTGGCCCAGTATTTCAACACTCTCTTTGAATATAGCTTTTATTTGCTTTGCGGGAGGAGTAGGGGGCATACCCGGCTGTGCTCAGGAGAGACCCCTTGCCTGTGGCTGACCCTCATTCGAACCCCCTACACTGGTGGTGCCTCAGACTAAACTGTGGTCAGCCGCATGCCAGGCAAGCACTTTCATTTCTGTACCGTCTGGCCCCGAATATCTTCATTAGATATATATTTTTTTTCTTTCTTGATGGGAGCACACAGAGGGATTGGACCACACCCATTGGTGTACAGGGTTTACTCTTGCTCTGTGTTCTGGGCTCACTGCTGGCTCTGTGCTCTGGGCTCGCTCCTCCTGGCTCTGTATTCGGGGCTCATTCCTGGCTCTGTGCTCAGCGCTCACTCCTGGCTCTGTGCTCAGGACTCATGCTTGGCTCTGTGCTCTGGGCTTACTCCTCTTGGCTCTATGCTCAGGGCTCACTCCTGGTTCTGTGCTCAGGGCTCACTCTTCCTGGCTCTGTGCTGAGGGCTCACTCCTCCTGGCTCTGTGCTCAGGGCTCACTCCTGGCTCTGTGTTCTGGGATCACTCCTGGCTCTGTGTTCTGGGCTTATTCTTAGCTCTGTGCTCAGGGATCAGTCCTTGCAGTACCAGGGTCATCTACGTTCAAGGCAAGTGCCGCCCTCTTTCCCTGGCCCAGTATTTCCAGTGTATTAAAAGAATTGTTGACACAGAAGAACTGGAGGGTAATCCCATGGCTGTCCCTAGGTCTGCTCTCCACATTTGGTTATGTTTCTGCTCACGTGGCTTACACATTCCTCAGAGTTGCCTGAGCTGCCATGGGAAAAAACCCGGCATGGGCACTGGCCAGTAACCCTTTCATTCACAAAGCGGCTCGTTCAGAATCCCCTGGCAGAGTCTGTGCCACGCGGCCACTCCTCATTGGAGCGAAGCTAGAAGCTAGAAGCCAGGATCAAGGTTTTACCAGGCTCCTCAGGGACAGAGCAGATGAAGGACAAGGACGAGGAGTGACCACATTAGCCTGAGGGTCGCGTTGGGTGCAGACCTTGAGGAGGTGCCCTCAGCTGGGATGGGAGCTGCTTTCCCCCTCACACAGGCTTCAGTCTGGGGCTGGCCACCAGGGGCATCCTTGCTGTCTGGTGTCACCTGCCTGACCCCTGGAGACTTCTGAGTGGGGGAAGCTGACGGGGTTGCCTCTGTCTCAGCCATGCTCAGGTTCTGGGGTCTCAAAGCTTCTGAGGAAGAGACCTCAGCCCAAGTGTTCCTTGTCCCTCTGACCTTAGAGGAGAAATGAAGGATACTCTAATCTTCCCTGGAAGCACCTCATGACCTTGTCTCTCTCCCTGACTGTTCATTTCTCCGTCCTCTCCAGTTGGCTTCCGGAAGAACCGGAAGCGGCAGAAGGAACCCCAGGAAGGTAGGTATCGCTCCTTGAGCGTCTCTGGAGGAGAGCTACTCCTTCCCTGAGCTCCCCCATCTGTGAGACCTCCCCTCTTCTCCCAGATGGCTCATCCCCAGCCCACTGATGTGGTCCTTGTAAATGTTCTGGGCCCGGATTCTCCCTCTCTGCCTGCTCCTTGCTCCCTGGCCTGCTTTACTCACTCACTGCTTTACTGCCTCCTTCTGTGCCTTTCTCTAGATCTCAGGAAGGAGCTTGTGGACTTTCGGAAGATGCTGAGAAAGAGGTGGGCCTGGACCCTGGGGGTGGGCTGGATGGAGGCTCCCCAGTGCCTGGGTCCCAGCTCAGCCCTCCCCTTCCGTCCACTGGCAGGACACCTACAGGGCAGCTGGCAGGTGGAGATGGGCACAGGGGCTGAAACTTGATGTCCTTGAATGAATCATCTCTGACCTGCCTGCTGATTCTTTTGCAGATGAAAGGGGGCGCTCCATTAACACTAGCATGTTTTCCAGTCCAGTGCATTTAGGGATATGATTGGATTCCTTAAATAAAAGCAGGCCGCATGCACCCTGGAAGGAAAGTGTTAAGCCCCCGAGGCCGTTCCTGCAACCCCCTTTGGAGGCCTCGGCCCCAGGCTCCCAAAGATGGGATCGCCAGGAAATGGGCCGACTCTGCTGGGAGGATCAGGGTCCCCCCAGGGCTGGGGCTGTGGGGGGAGGCCCCCACCTCGGGGTCCTTCCAGCCCTGACAGTGGTGAGGTCCAGGTCCAGTTCTCTAACCTCCGAAGTGCTGGCCCTGCCCCCCAGGGCCCCACCGCCGGCCCCAGAGAAAAAGGTGGACTCCGAGCAGGTGTGGCAGCTGCTGACCACCGCGGACCGGAAGGACTACGAGCAGATCTGCCGGAAGTACGGCATCGTGGACTTCCGGGGCCTCCTGCGCAAGCTGCAGCAGATGCGGCGAGAGCGGGAGGACTGGCTGGCGCAGGTACCCTGAGCTGCACTGCACAGTCGGACCCGAGCCTGTGTGACCCCTCTGCAGGCGGAGCTCTGGTCTCGGCTTTTCAATTTGTCCAAAGGTTCTTGTGCCAACCCTGCTCCAGGGGGGGCTCTGGGGGAAAATGAGAGAATGTGCTAGAAGCTCAGTCCCTTCCCTGAGATCATTGTCCTCAGCCTCATCATCATAGTCCTTCCTCATCATGGGGCCTGGGGGTCCGCCTTGTTCCTGAGGGCGTCAGGAAGAGACAATCTCACCCATATTTTCTCTCGCATCCCTGCACAGTTTCTCACCCTTTACCTGACTACACCCCCTTCTCATCTCGGTTCCTTCCTGTTGTCCCCTGCCCTACAGGTTGGACCCCTAGTCCCACACTATGCCCCCTCCGTTTATGCAACTTCCTCCTGTGCCCCCTTGGCCTACCATGAACTCCCTTTTGGAGGTGGTGCTATGAAGGGAATAGAAGTTCTTTCCTGCGATGAACCCAACTATGGAAGGCGTCTACCAATTTTTTTTTCTCTCCCAGAAATACAAAAGTCGATTTTATTCTTCTGAAATAGTGTTTCATCAGCTGATGGTCATTCATCAAGTCTCCCATCTTGGGACCTAGGTTTTGTCTCCACCACCCTTCCCCTTTGATTTATCAGAAGGTTTTCTACCCCAAGGGACCCAGCCCCGGTAGCCGAAAATCTCCAGAACCCAGCCACTGCCATGCCCACAGCCGCTCTCCACACGCTGAACATCACCCATGAGTGAATCTATTCCTGGACCTTGTGGTCGCATTTGTGGCCACGCAATGCTTCAAACCACACACCCTACCCATACTCCAATATTACCGCACCACATTTATTAGGGTTCAAAGTAGGAGGCAGCCAATCTTAGAGGGGAACATACATTTTTTAACAGATATGTGTGTGTGTGTGTGTGTGTGTGTGTGTGTGTGTATAAAGCACACAAAACTCAACCTTTAACACCATATTAGTGATCTCTTATAGAAGGGCTTAATGGCGGCTGGGTGAAATACAACAACCTCGCACTCTTTCCTCTATGGATACTTTTTGGTAGCATTTTCCAGCGGTTTTTCATAACAAACAATACAAAATATATTATTTAGGTTCTGCTTTGGGGCAGGGATTGAGGTTCGGAATGGAAACATCTGAAAGACGGTGGTGGGAAGGTATAATGGTGGTGGGATTGGTGTTTGCATATTAAATGTAATGAAATATTGTGAACTACTTTATAAAGTAGTGTGCCTTGCACACAGCCAACATGGCTGACCCGAGTTTGATTCCTCCGCCCCTCTCGGAGAGCCCGGCAAGCTACCGAGAGTATCTCGTCCTCACAGCAGAGCCTGGCAAGCTCCCTGTGACGTATTCGATATGCCAAACACAGTAACAACAAAGTCTCCAATGGAGACGTTACTGGGCCCGCTTGAGCAAAATCGATGAACAACGGGAGGGTCTTTACCTTTACCTTTTACTTTATAAAATAAATTTTTTTTAAAATAAAATAAAGAGATCTTTCCTCTCAGCTACTCATGATTTAAAAAAAAAAGAGAGGCTTTTTTTATGAAGAAGTACTGCTATTTATTCAGCCACCGATAAGCTGATTGAATTGGGCATGAACTCCATCTTACTTTGTTTTTCATTTTTTATAATTTTATTTATTGAATCACCATGAGAGCAGTTACAAAGCTTTCCAAAGCTTTCGGGTTTAAGTCTCGGTCATACAATGAAACACCTGTACCTTCACCAGTGCCCATTCTCCACCACCAAAAACCCCTCCCACACCTTCCCCCTACCTGTGGGGCAGATGACTTCCACATTGCTCAAAGAGAGAAGGTCTTGAGAGGCCCCAGGACACCCTGCACTGGGCTTTGCACGCCGAGGTTGCTCAGCGACCTCCCGCTGGGTGCACTGGCAGACACGGAAAGGCATGGGCAGGCCTGCCTGCTCTCCGTCCTAGCCTCACCCCTCTCGCTCCTCCTGGAGAATTTCTCCCCTGATAAAAGGGGCACAGGTGGACTCTGGGGGAGGGGGATGGGGAGGGGGGTTGAGGCCTGGCGCCCTCTCAAGAGACCCCCTGGCCAGCGCCCCTGTGGGTTTGCTTCCCTAGTATGTCAACGCTGTCTCCAACCTGAAGCACCTAAAGGTCGGCAAGGACGGGGTGGCCACATTCGCTCTGGAGCTGGATCTCAAAGACCCTGAGAGCAAGATTTACCTGTATAAGGTGAGGCTGGAGGGCCCTGAGGGAGGAGGGAAGTGGCGGAGGGGCTGTGGGAGCAGTGGACCCCCAGAGAGAAGCAGAGGAGCCACTGGGACCCTCTGGGGAATGTGTACGTGGGGTCAGGTCAGACCACAGCACCATCACTCTGCAGACGCCTGAGTCAGCTGGGGAGGACGCATCAAAGGAGAGTGCTGGGCAGTGCTCCCCCTTCTGCCAGGGCTCTCTTCACGGACATCCCCGTGAGGCGCCAGGTCTCCCGACCAGGTGGGGGCTAGACTGGGTATGTGCGGCCGAGGACAGAGCTGACATTACTTCTCTGACCCATCTCCTCCCTGCCACTGTGACCTCCCTGCCACACGACAGTCAGTGGCCTGGTGCTTCAGTTTACCCCTTGGAAAGTGAGGGTGCTATTGGGCCCGGGGCCACTCAGAGTTGACTCTTGGTGATATCCGGCCAGGCCTTCAGAAAGCGGATGCATCTAGGTGCCTGAGTTTGGAGATTTTTTTAATTTTTAATTTTAATTTTCATAAAGTTGTTTACAATATTTGTTTACATTCAATATTTCAACACCAATCCCACCACCACTGCACCTTCCCACCATCATTATTTCAAACCTTCCAACCACCACCCAAGCCTGCCTCATAGGCAGATACTAAATAATTTATTTTGTATGGCTTGTTATGAATAGTATGAGATGTCCCAGGACCACTGAGGGCATGTGACAAGGTCCCTGGGCCACCGAGTGTATGTGCTGGAATCCCAGGGCCACTGAAGGAGTGTGCCTGGCTCCCAGGACGGGGGCGCTGCCTCCCAATCGCCGTTAGCCTGCGGGGCTCTTGCTGGCCAGCCCACTCTCCTCCCACCTCATCATCAATCCCAGTTGCCTCTGGCCTAACACTTGTGGACATTCGCTCCGCAGTAAGAGCCCAGCACGTTCTGAAGGTCTTGCTTGTGTTTTCTTTTTTCTTTATTTTTTTTCTTTGCGGGTCACAGTCAGCAATTCACTGGGGTTATTCTTGGCTCTGCACTCAGGAATTACTCCTGGCAGTGCTTGGGAGACCATATGGGATGCTGAGAATTGAACCCAGGTTGGCCGCGTGCAAGGCAAATGCCCTACCCGCTGTGCTATCACTCCAGCCCTTGCTTGCGTTTTCTCATCCAGGCCCTGTCCCTGTCACCCCCACCTGACCCCCTCACAGTTCCGGTTTATGGGGCCTGGCACGGTGGGAGAAAAGCACTGGTGTGGCCAGAGGGTGGGGCTGACTGAGCCCCGAGTCCCCTCTCTCTAACCCGGGCAGGACGGGGAGATGGTTCCCTACGGCTCCGACAGCCAGACCAAGCACTGCCTGCGGCGCCTGGGGAAGCGGTACCACTTCCAGATCCGGGACCTGCGGCCCGAGGACGCTGGCATTTACCAGGTCAAGGTGGAAGACGCGGGAATCTTCTCCACGCAGCTGGAGGCGGCTGGTGAGGGTCTTCTCAGCATTGACGGAGGGAGGGGAGGGAGGGGGCACATGGGGGCCAGGCTCAGGGGAGGGAAACCAAGGTGGCCTGGTCGCAGGGGACCCCTGAAATGCAGGCCCACCGGGGAGACCAGGAGCTGAGTGTGCCCCGGGCAGGTCTTCTGAGCTTTGCCACCGGGGTCAGACAGAGCTCGGCTCTGCACACGCAGGTCCCCGCTGAAGCCCCTGGACAGCCTCACCCTTGCCCACAGCTCCCCCCGCCTGCTCCACTGCTCTGAGAATCCCCCCCCCTTTCAGGGTTGCTGTGCCTGCACCCACTTCTGACTCCCCGCCTGGGGTCTGTCTCTGCCTCTCTCACTGCACTTGACCCCATCACCCAACACCCCGTTACTGGCCTGCCGGAGGGACCTGTGGGGAGGAGGAGAGGTCGGGACAGGGGATGAGGGTGCAGGTACCTCCTGAGTCACATGGGGGTTGAAGGTGAGGAGCAGAGCCTTTGGGGTCAGCCCATCGGGGGGACGTCCTAGCTGGGGTGCCTGGGACCAGACGTTAAACTGAAGCTTCTTGACGTGTAAGAAATGGGGTGCCTTCCGGGAGCTCTTCCTCTGAAGCACCAAATGGCACCTGAAATCCCGGGACTGACAGTCCTTCGACTACCCACCTTGCCCCTGCGTCAGCTTTGGGGCTGAGGTCAGGAATTCTAAGGGCCGGGGAGATGCTGACAGAACAGGAGTGGAGGCTCCCCAACATGTCCGAGGGTATGTCCCGGACACTCCTCAGCTGGCCCTGAGCACTGAACTGCCAGGTCTGCACAGCTGGGCCATGGATCCCCAGGAGTGCGAGGGAGTCCCGGGAATGATAAAGCCCGGGTCAGAGCGATATACAGCGGGAAGAGCGTTTGTCTTGCACACAGCTGACCTGGGACTGATCCTGCCACCCCAATATGGTCCCCCAAGCAACACCAGGAGTGACCCCTGAACACAAAGCCAGGAGTAAGCCCTGAGCACCGCCAGGTGTGACTCAAACCCTTTCTCCGAGAACTGGGAAGGGGGTCCCCTCATCATCTCAACACAGCGCCTGGGTTGGTACAGGGGGCTGAGGCCTGAGGCTGGGGCAACCCCGGTCCAGCTGGGGAGAGCCTGGCTTTCGGAGCTGCTGCCCCACCATGCCCATGGCTGACGGCCCCATGCTGCCTGGTGCAGCCATCCCCCCCAGAGTGGTGGTCCCGCTGGCCGAGGTCCGCTGCCAAGAGGAGGGTGATGCCTGCTTCGAGTGCACCCTCTCCAGTGCCTGCCCTGATGCCACCTGGCAATTCCAGCGCCGGCCGCTTCGGCCCAGCGGCAAGTATCAAGTGTCCGTGTCCCCCGACGGGTTGACCCACCAGCTGGTGGTGCGGGGTGCCTGCCCCTCCGACATGGGCCTCTACTCGCTGGATGCCGGCCTGCATGCCTCTAGTGCCTGGCTAGTGGTGGAGGGTAAGTGCTCCCTATGACTCCTCCCTGACCCCTCGGGGCCAGACCTGGGGGCAGTGGGCAGTGAGCACATGTCCTCTAGGCCCCCAGGAGGAGGCAGAGGGCTCCTGAGCGCCCTCCCACCCTGTCCCCCTCTATCCCTTGGGGCCCAGGATGGTGCCTGGAGGGGGCCAGGTTCCATAGAGCCACATCCCAGAACGGCCTTAGCCCCACCCCCGGCACCAGGCTTGACTGAATTCCCGGGAGGGCACTTGGGCTCACACATTTCCTCTGACCCCCTAGGAACCCCAGGGTGGGAACGCGGTGGCGGGGTCCTCTCTGGGTGACCCGGAGCTGCGGTCTCTACCACTTCCTCTACAGACACCTCCAGCCTCACCCCAGTTCCTTCTCTCTCCAGGGGGCTTCCCTCTCTCCAATGCGGTGAAGGGTGAAGGCCTCCTGGCAACAGGTTCTAACTGCCAGCTGCCAGCGCCAGGAGCCTGGGCCCCAGGAGCCGGAGATTCTGGGCACCTGGATGGCCAGGAGGGGGAGCTCCCAGATCAGGGTCCCTTGGCGGGCTCCCTGGAGGGGGCAGGGCCAGCTTCTGGACTCCAGCAACCAGCAAGCCCTGACGTGGGTGCTCCTGGTGGCCGTAGCTACTCCTGCAGAGGGGATGAGCCTACCTGGGGATTTCCGGAAGCAGAGGGGGACAGAGGGGGTCCCAGAGAGAGAAGTTGGAGCTGGACGCTTCTGGGGAGACGCGGTCTGCAGGGGGAGGGCCAAGACTCCGAGCCAGGGCCCATGGAAGGTGGACAGCGAGATCCTGGCAGAGCCGGGGAGGGGAGCTCAGGATGGGGGTCAACGGTGAGGAGCAGTGGAAGGGGAGAGGATCCCAGAGAGGCCCTCGGAAGTGGGCTGGGCACCCCTTTGGGAGCTGAGGTGGGAAGGAGGGTCCAGGCTGGCCCCGGGGAGTCATGGTCAGGTGGGGAAGTGACGAGGGACAGTTGGCAGGGGGCGCTCCAGGAGGAGGGAGGGGACGATCTGCACAGGGGGGCGGGCAGCTCAGCAGCACATCGAGGTGGTGGGATGGGTCGGGGGGGCCCAGGAGAGGGCAGTGGGGCAGGAGGCCCTGGAGGAAGAGGGCTGAACCCCCAGGCAGGCCCGGGTCCTGGGTCCCTGGGCTCTTCTGCAGGGAGGGATGTGGACTCCAGGGGTGTTCAGGGCTGTTGGGGAGTGGGTGGGTGTCAGGGACAGACTGCTGGAAACAAGGACCCCCAGGAACCCGGGAGCGGGGGTCCAGGGGCCCTGGTGGGGGACTCGCTGCAGGGTGCAGGTGCGGGGGGCCGGGGGTTGTCTGAAACTGGGGGCTCTGTTGACCCAGGGGGCTGGGGAGACAGTCGGCAGGAGCTCCGGGGGGCAGGTGCAGTATGTGCCCCAGGAGAGGTGGGGTGGAGTCCCGGAAGCCTGGGGGATCCCCGAGGCTGGGAGTCCCCCCAGAGGGGAGCAGGAGGCCTTGCCAATGCGGGGCCTGAGTGCCCGGGGCCCAGCCTCAGCCAAGCCGGGACTCCCCGTGGGCCTGGAGTCCCAGGGCCCGATGGAGGGCTGGGGGGTGGGTTGTTGGGACCTGCTCAGGAACTGGGTGCCTGGAGCCACAGGCTAACGGGGTCTCCAGGAAGGGGTGCCCAGGGGCCCTGGGGAACCCTGGGAGTCACGGGTGGTCCCAGCTCTGCACCCAATTTCTGGAACGGGTCACAGCTCTGTGTGGTTGAGATGGCTTGTGAGGCCGGCTCAGGGGGCCCCAGGGGCATGGGAACTGAGCATGGGGGTGACTGCAGGGAAGCTGGGGGAGCAAGTCCTGAACATGGGGCTGGCCCTGGCCAAGGCTCAGGGCTGTCAGGAGCCAGGGGTTCGAGCCAGGGTGCTAGTGGAGGAATCACCTCTTGGGCATCTGGAGGGGCAGAGCAAGGTGGGGACTCCAGGCAAGGCCCAGAGGCATCTGCAGGAAGGTGGTTTGGGAACAGAGGGGGCTGTGGTCCTGCAGACAGGGAGTCTGGGGGAGCTGCTGGTCTCAAGAATGACTCAGGGAGCCCTGGAGCGGGGCCCAGGGACGAAACTGGGGTGCACCCAGGGACCAGGGGTCAAGGCCCGGGGGACACTGAAGCTGGGGGAGGGCGTCACTTCCTTGGTGCCCTAGAGGGTCCCGGGGCATTGGGGCCTGCGGGCAGAGCTGGCCTGGGTGCCTCGGCAGCACCCAGGGAGCCCGGGGGAACGTGGTCTCAGGGTCAGACTGGAGGGCCAGGGGCTCCAGGGTCCTCTGGAGAAGGAGGCCTTGAAGATGGTTCCGGGGGCCCAGGAGCCAATGAGTCCCGGCCTCTGAGCGCAGGGGCCAGGGCCAGGGGCGAGGGTGGCCACTGCGGGCCGGGTCCCAGCGAGCCCAGAGCAAGAATTGGGAGTCAGAATGATGTCAGGTGCCCGGAAACGGACTTGGCTGTCACTGGGGGTGTGTCCAGGGCTGCCTGGGCTCAAGGAACCCAGAGCGGCCCAGGACTGGCAGGACATGAGCCAGAGGGGGGTGAAACAAGTTATGGGGGAGGGTCAAGAGGACTGAGGCCTGGGGGGAGGGGCCCAGGGAGAGAGGTAAGCCTCAGGGATGGTTTGGGGGGTTCAGGGGGAATTGGGTCGGGAGGTGAAGGAGCCCCTAAGGGTGGCTTAGGGGGGTCTGGGAGAATTGGGTTAGAGAGTGAAGGAGCCTCTAAGGATGGTTTGGGGGGTTCTGAGGGAATTGGGTTAGAGGGTGAAGGAGCCCCTAAAGGCAGTTTAGGGGGTTCTGGGAAAATTGGGTCAGGGGGTGAAGAAAACCCTAAGGATGATTTAGAGATTTCTGGGAGAATTGGATCAGGAGGTGAAGGAGCCCCTAAGGGTGGTTTAGGAGATTCTGGGAGAATTGGATTCGGGGGTGAAGGAAGCCCTAAGGGTGGTTTAGGGGGTTCTGGGAGAATTGGGTCAGGGGGTGAAGGAGCCCCTAAAGATGGCTCAAGGGGTTCGGGGAGAATTGGATTCGGGGGTGAAGGAAGCCCTAAGGATGGTTTCAGAGGTTCTGGGGGAATTAGGTCAGGGGGTGAAGGAGTCCCTAAGGATGGTTTTGGAGATTCTGGGGGAATTGGGTCAGGGGATGAAGGAGCCCCTAAGGATGGTTTAGGGGGTTCTGGGAGAATTGGGTCAGGGGGTAAAGGAGCCCCTAAGGATGGTTTCGGAGGTTCTGGGGGAATTGGGTCAGGGGGTGAAGGAGCCCCTAAGGATGGTTTAGGGGGTTCTGGGAGAATTGGGTCAGGGGGTGAAGGAGCCCCTAAGGATGGTTTAGGGGGTTCTGGGAGAATTGGATCAGGGGGTGAAGGAGCCCCTAAGGATGGTTTCGGAGGTTCTGGGGGAATTGAGTCAGGGGGTGAAGGAGTCCCTAAGGATGGTTTCGGAGGTTCTGGGGGAATTGGGTCAGGGGGTGAAGGAGCCCCTAAGGATGGTTTGGGGGGCTCTAGGGGAATTGGGTCAGGGTATGAAGGAAGTCCTAAGGATAGTTTGGGGGGCCCTGGGGGGATGAAGTCAGCGGGAGAGGCAGGCTGTAGGGATGGTTTTGGGTTTTCTGGGGGAGTTGGGTCAGGGGATAAAGGAGGCCCAAGGGATGATTTAGGGGGTTCTGGAAAAATTGGGTCAGAGGGTGAAGTAGACCCTAAGGATGGTTTAGGAGGCTCTGGGGGAATTTGGTTAGGGGGTGAAGGAAGCCTTAGGGGAGGTCTGGGGAGCTCTGGGGAAATTGGGTCAGTGGGAGGGACAGGCCCTAGGGGTGACTTGGGGGTTCCTGGGAGAGTTGGGTCAGGGGGAGGGGCAGACTATAGGGATAGTTTAGGGGATCCTGGGGGAAGTGGGTCAGGGGGAGACACAGGCTGTAAAGATGGTTTGGGGGGTTCAGGAGGAACAGGGTCCGGGGGAGAGGTGGGTTTTAGGGGCAGCGTAGGAAGCTCTTGGAAATTGGGCCCCCAGGGTGAGAAGGAGTGCGGGGAGGGCTCTGGGAAGGGTGGGACTTCAGGCTCCCTGGGTGCAGAGGGGAACGCGGGTGGGTGTGGGCGAGGGTCCAGGGTACACTCAGAGGGGTCCTCTGGAGGTGAAAGCTGCAAGGGTGCCCCCCAGATGGACAGGGGAGAGGGGCTCATGGACGGGAACAGGGCTGCCCCTGTGGTCAGCACCCGGGGTCCCCAGCTTCCCACAGCCAGGCAGGGCTCCCAGAGTGGATCTGGGGCCTCTGGTCCCCTGGGGGTCACTGAGGCACAGGGGGCTGTTGGCTGGGAGGAGAGGCCAGGCTTCAGAGAGGGGCACTCAAATGCTGGGGTTCCAGGGATCCCTGGGCACAGGGTACCCCCTGGCAAGGAAGGCCTGACTGCAGAACGAGCAGGGAGGAAGGGCCCTTCAGGCAAGGGGATCGTGGAGGGTGGGCTGGGGCCAGGGGCTGCCCTGGCTCCTGGACATGACCACAGAGACTGGGCAGGAGGTCTGGGGACAGCAGGTGGGGCATGTGCGGGCGGGGGACGCTCAGCAGGAGCGAGCAAGGGCCTGGACAGCAGCTGCATGGCCCGAGAAAGGGAGGAAGCCCGACCGGATCCTGCCAGTGGACGAGCACCATGCTGGACTCAGGCATACCAGGGGGCCAGCCTGGGCAGCCCACCCTCCGGGGATCAATCTACAGGCTCCCCAGCTCTGGGGTCTCAGCAGGAGGAAGAGTTCCCCGAGGGGCTGGGGGGCTCTGCGGGCCTGGCACAGTGCTCGGGTATGGACAGCGGCCTCCAGCTCCTGGGCTGCAGTGATCCCGCAGGGACCGGAGCCAGGATCTCCAGGGTTCAGCATGAGGCGAGGAGTGGCTGCCCCCACACACCAGGGCACACAGGATCTCAGGGAGCCTGGGAAGTCCCCACTGGTCCTTTCAGTGGAGAGGACTCTGGGGGTATCTCTGGGGACGTCCAAGACCTGGACTCTGGGTCAGGCAGAGGAGAGGGAAGAAGTTGGGGCTGCCCGGGTAAGAGTGTAGGTCGGGGTCGGGGGGATCCCGGCGCCCCCAACCAGAGACAGGTTCCCCTCGGGAGCAGGTCCCAAAGACATCCAGGAACAGAGAGGAGTAGGAGTACAGGGGAGGGGGAAGCGGGAGGTGGCAGAGGGCTGCCCCCCAAAAGGAGCAGAGACCGCCTAGCTGAGACTCAGTGCAGAGATGAGGGCCGGGGACCCCTGCATCGTCCTGATGGCGAGAAAGGAGGCCAAGAGAGCAGAAGAAACATCTGTGGCGAGGGGAAGGAGGCCCCCCAGAACCGAGGCCCTGTACCGGAGCCTGGCGCTGCTGGCAGCTTCTCTGTGGCAACCCAAGGTATGTGCCCACCTCAGCCCGGGGAGCTGCCCCACCACCAGCACCTGCACCCCAGGAGGCCACCTCCTCCTCCTGACACAGGTGGGTGCAGGTTGGGGTGAAAACAGCATCAGGCCTCCCCTATGCCCTAAGCACCAGGGCTGAACAGGACAGGCCACAGGAGCTGACCATTGGCCCCCCCTTGTGTCTCTCTAGAGCCCCCCTTCTCCGGGGGCCTCTCTGCACAGGCAGTGGTTGGGGGTGAGACCTCAGGCCTGTGCTGGTCCCTCACTCGAAGCCGGGAGGACAGAGTCCAGGTACTGTGTCCTGCTCTACTGACCGCTCTGGGGGAGAAGGGGGAGGGGCTTCAGTCCCAAGATGGGCCATCCTGCGACCTTGGCCGGACCCGACTAGAGGAGTTAGAGAAAGCGGGAGGTGAAAACGGGGAATGTCAGGCTCAAATCTGGCACACCCTATCCCGGCACCACCTCCTCTGCCCACCCCCATCCAAAACACACACACACACACACACACACACACCAGTCACCTCCAACAGCCCCTCACTGTCCTGCCCCCCGGGGAACGGCCTTCACAGGGGTTCCCAGCACTGGCCTGGGCCTCCGAGTCCTGGCTCCTGAGCCTGGCTCTGCCTGGCACCCGCATGAGACTTTGGTTTTCAGGGTCGAGGGGCCCTGAAAGCACCTCAGTCCCCGAGAGGATAGGTGGGGTGGGAGTGGGGTCTCGGGGTCCCCTTGGCTTTGGGAGAAGACTGGACAGTGGGGCCGGAGGGTGGCATGACCCAACCATGTGTTTTCTTTGCAGCTTGGTGCCCAGATTGAAGCCGCAGAGCACAAGGGCTGTGTGGGGGGCACCCAGGCTGGGAGGCACAGCCTGGCCGCGGGAGACCATCGGAGTCAGGCCACGGGGACCGTCGTGGGTAAGGCCTGACCCTGTCCCATCTCATCCTTCTGAGCACTGCCTTGGGGGCTGTCTGTCACATCCTCAGGCAGAGGCGAAGGGCTGGAGGGATGGGGTTGCTGGGGACTGGGGACCCTAATCCCGACCCTCCTTCTACTCTATGCCCACAAATTTACTGTTTGTCTTCTGGCAGAAGGAAGCGGTCTTAGTATTATTATTATTATTATTTTCTTTTAATTTGGAAAAATGTAGACTGTTAGTGGCCGGCCAGGTAGTTCAGCCGAGGGAGGCACTCACTTTGCCTGGTGTTTCCTAAGCACAACCAGGGGTCGCTCCTGAGCACAGACCCAGTAGGTTACTTCCCCATCTCCCTATTTCCCCCACCCCACATTCCCCACCCCCAGGCCCCAGTTGTGAGTTACCAGGGGAGCTCAGAGAGCTGGAGTCCTCCCTTCAGCACAACTCAGCACCCCCTTCCACGGCCTGCTGGCCACAACTCCAAGCACTACTTGGGAACACCCCAGCAATTTTTAAGGTGTTTATTTATTAATTAATTTATTTTTGTTATTAAGGAAACATGGGTTTGCCATACTCTGTGTGTTTTGGGGGTATGGGGCCACACCTCTGAATATAGGTCCCCACCATACCCCCCTGAAGCCCCCAGAACCCTGGGTCCTTTCCCCAGTGCCCCTCTGACCCCCTTGCTTTGTTCCCGCCTCAGGTGCCCCCACTCTCCCCTCCAAAGTGAGAGAGAACCCACGAGAACAGCAGACCTGCTCCCGGGGCCACCTCCCTGTCCAGGCTGCTTGGTGGAAGGACGAGGCAAGGGGCGGCCGTGGCCAGGGGGCTCCCTCGAGGGAAGGCTGTGCTCGGCCCCGCCTCCCCTACATCGGCCAGGACAGTGACCAGCAATGCATGACCCTGAGGCGCGAGGGCAGCCCCATGCAGGCCGGGCTCACTCTGCCAGTCCCAGGTACCCCCTAGATTGGTTAGGAAACAGAGGGTCCATAATTGTCGGGGTCCGGCTCCCATGGGCGGGTCGGCAGTTCATCCAGAAAGCAAATGTGTGAGGGCACTTCAGGGGCACTCCCACCCCCCGCCCCGACTTGAGCCAGTACGGTTGGAGGGTGTGTATTTGAGAACGCTGGTTCCGAGTAGAGGGGCTTGCAGTGCCTGGGGCCAGGGGAGGGAGGGGCACTTCTCCGTATGTCCAGGGTGCTGTGGGCATCCTGCCCCTGCCTCTTCCTGCTCTTCTCTGGGACCACATACTAACCCCAGTCCTCCCATCCTCTGTCCTCTGGAGGTGTTGGATTTGCCCAGGGACTGGGTCTCTGCTTCCACAGGCCGTCCTGAGTGGTCAGGGTCCTTCATGATAGAGCTGGGCAGGCCAGCAGGAGCACCTGACTGAGGCAGATGAGCCCACAGCCCCTTCACTGCTGCCCGTGGCTTGCAGAGTGGTCGAGCAGATGCACTGAGTCAGCAAGAATAGAATTTGATGGACATTCAGTTGTTCCAATGGCAACTGCTGAGTTTCATCCTACCCAAGGCAGTGTATGAGGCAGGGGCGGGGTGAGGGGGAACCGGACCCAAGTCTGCAGGATTCCCTGTCTCTCTCTGGGTCTGTCTCTGTCTGTCTGTCTGTCTGTCTGTCTGTCTGTCTCTCTCTCTCTCTCTCTCTCTCTCTCTCTCATGAATGGAAACCATCTAACAGAATGAGCAGAATCCATATACCCCTCTAATTTTCTTGGTTCCTCACCACATAGCACAGCCCATGGGTTCCCTGGGAGCATGTGAACAATGCAGACTCTCAGCCCTCACCCCTGCAGATTTTCAGACTTGCAGCTCCTTTCAGGAGCTCAGCCCTCACCCCTGTATAATCTCAGCCCTCAGCACTCAGCCCTGCAGGAGCTCAGTTTTCGCTCAGTGTTCTATCCATGATGCTCCATTGGGCACCTCCAAACACCAGCTGGGCCTCTGTCTGGGCAGACCGGTCAGACGTGGTTTTTCATTTCAACTCATAACAGAACCATGCCAAGGTCAATGGCTGAATCCGGGGTCATCTGTAGGGTCCAACTGAGTCAAAGTCCTGAGCAGAGAGGGCACTGGGCAGATTCGCTGAGTCCTGACGGCTGTTTCTGTCCTGGGCTCAGCAGACTCCCACGCCCCAGTTCTCTGACGCCCAAAGGTGGGTCATCTTCCTGGGGAGGGGTCTTTAATTCCCGGAGACCCTGGGTCACCCCCACAGATCCTAGAGCGAGCCTCGTGCAGTGAAGGGCGCGCGGCACCGCGACCCAGAACCCAGCGCACCCTGAGCCTGACCCTCCACTGCTCTCGGCGTCACCCCCCAGACCCCTCCCTGACTCCACGTCCACGCCCCCACACCCCTCTGCGGCTTCTCCCGGCCCCCGAAGATCTGTAGATCTTGTGGGGCCCCCACTCCCGCCCCTGCAGCCCCGCTCTGAAGGGGGGAGGCCCCCCCAGAAGTGACCCGCTGCTCTGTACCTTCCAGCCACCTCCTGCAGCCGAGGCCCGCGTGCGGTCAACGCCGGGGTCAGCTCCCGCGCGCCTGTCTCCTTTGAAGTGAGTATGCGCTAGCTCGTGGGGTGCTGAGAGGGCCCCTGCGGAGCAGAGGTCGCCAACTCTTCCCTGTCCTTTTCTGGACCCTGGTCAGTTCCCCCCGGGTTTGTGCAGGAGTCAGGATGGGGAGGACAAGGAGGGGTCCCCGCGGCTCCCCCTGGACCGTTCTGGCCTGTGTCCCTCTAGTGGTAGCCTCTAGTACTGCACCCCAGCCCTTGGTGGGAGCCTGGGGCCCCTGCAGCCTGGACTCCCGGGGTACACATGACCTTTCCATCCAGGAGGGTTCTCATGCCCACCCGTACAGTGTAGCCTGGCAGTTAGAGCAGAGACATCCTGGGTTCCACCTAGGACGTCATCACTTACTAGTGCTGGGCGTTGGACTCCCAATTCCTCAGGATCCCAGTTCCTTCTGTCAGCTGAGGATAATAACAGGAGCAGTTTGGAGGACCACACCTGGTGGCGCTCAGGGGCCACACCTTCTGGTGCTCAGGGGTCACTCCTGGTGGTGCTCAGGGGAGTATACCTGAAGGTGCTCCAGGGGCTGTACCTGGGAGGCTCGGGGGACTGTACTTGGGGGTCTGGGGGGTGTACCTGGAGGTGCCAGGATAGAACCAGGGTATGACCACACCCCAGCCATGCTCTGCAGACACATTTCTGCCGCGAAGGCTCCTCTCCTGGCTAGAGACCCCGCTTCCAGGCCGATTCCCCTCACAGCCCCTCCCTGCCTCCTTCCTTGGTTCCCAGGTGACTCCGGTATCGGCGGTGACCCAGCTGAGGGACGGTTCTTCCTTGACTCAAAGAAGCACGGCCAGCACCAATGTGGTCAGTCCCTCAGACAGCGGCCGCCTAAGCCTGCAGCTCAAGGATTCCTGGGGCCGGGATGCAGCCCCCCACTCCCTGCTCAGGGCCACAGGTGAGGCAGCTGAGGCCTGGGCCTGCTGGGGGTCTGGGGTCTGAGGCTGTGCTCATAGAACGAGGGAACGGCCCCGGGAAAAGTGGAGGTGGGCAGACCCCTCAGGGACAGGGCCCCCGAGCCACAGCCTCTCCCCAAGCCCGGTGGTTCTTCATGGTTTGCTTTGGTTTGAGTTTTGGGTCATGCCTGGCAGTGCTCAGGGATGACTCCTGACTCTGTGCTCAGGGGTCACACCTGGCAGCATTCAGGGCCCCACAGGGACTGTCAGGGCTCAAACTCAAGTCAGCCGCATGCAAGGCAAGTGCCTTACCCACTTATTGCTTTCACCCAGAGAATTTTTTTCTGGAGAAACTGGGTTTTGGGAGGACCCAGTGGTGCTCAGGAATAATCCCTGGCAGTGCTCAGGGGGCCATATGTGGTACCAGAAATTCAAACATGGGCTGGCAGCATGCACGCAAGTGTCTTAACCCCTGTACTAGCTCTCTCACCCCAAGACCCCTTATTTTGGGTCTGAGCAAACTGGTCCCCACCGGGGTCCCCCCTCCCCCGCAAAAAGCAGTGGAGGGACAGTGAGTGGCAAATGAAAGCTGCCCTTTCCCACGTGGACTCCCAGCCTGCCCCATCCTGGAGATGTTTCTGAAACTCTGGAAGGACACGCAGCTGACATGTGACTCCCTCTGTGCCCTGCAGCCTGCCCGAGGGCCCCTGGGCCCGTCCGCCTGCAGGAGAAGGTGCCCGGCACAGTCACTGCCGAGTGGGACCCCTCCCCGGACGAGCAGGGGGACGACCCGCTGCACTACACTGTCTTCACTCGCTCCTCGGCATTCGGCCCCTGGCGCCAGGCGGCCGACCGCGTCCACACCACCAGCTTCACCCTCCTGGGGGTGCTCCCCGGGCGCCAGTACCACTTCCGGGTGGTGGCACAGAATGAAGCAGGAACCAGCCCACCCTCTGACACACCCCAACCCTGGTGCCTCCCCCGGCCACAAAGAGGTGAGCAGAAATGGTGGCTGGGGGTGTAGGGGGGCTAGGAGGGTGGGGGCGCAGGGGGCCGGGGACAGGGGTTGGCAGAAGGAGTGCCGGGGAAACTGACAGTGGGAGAAACTGCAGGAGGCTCTGCCACCAAGTCGGGGTGGGATGGGGGATAGGGGTGTGGGAGGGATATTGGGATCAGTGATGGTGGAGAATGGGCACTGGTGGAGGGATGGATACTTGATCATTGTATAACTGAAACCCAAGCACAAAAATTTGTTAAGTCTACAACTGTACCTCATGGTGTTTCACTAATAAAAATTAAAAAAAAAAAAACAATGGGTGGTTTACACTCATGGGAAGCAGAACTGGGGAGGGTCCTCCAGGAAAAGCAGACTGTGAAATCAAATGCACGTCCTCCCTCTTGGAAAATACCAAGCATCCACACTGGGATGTTAGCTGTGATCATCAGTTTGGCAGATTATGGATGATTTTTAAACGTTCTCTCCTTTCCCCATTGGTTTTTACTTTGGGCCATCCCCAGGCAGGCAGTGCTGGAGATCTGTCCTCCCAGACCTCTGAGCCTTCCCCCTGCCCCTCCTCCTCTGTTGGATTCTGTGTGTTGATTGACTCATAGTGGCCATGTGCTCTCTAGAGTAAATGAAGGGGAGGGGCAGGCAGGTGACCAAAGGACTGGAGCATGCTTGCAGGCAGGAGGCTGGGGTTCGATCTCTGGCACTGCAGGCTCCCCAGAGCACAGCCAGGAGGGACCCCCCCCCTCCAAGCACCAGAAGGAGCACCCTGAAGGACCATGCGGGGAGGAGCCCTGAGAGCCAATGGACATGGCCCCGCACAGAAGAAAGCAAAAACAATCTAGAAAGGACTTTAAGGAAAGGATAAAAACAAACAAACAAAAAAAATGAATAAGGCAGGGGCTGGAGTGATAGCACAGTGGGTAGGGCATTTGCCTTGCATGCGGCTGACCTGGGTTCGATTCCCAGCATCCCATATGGTCCCCTGAGCACCGCCACCAGGGGTGATTCCTGAGAGCAGAACCGGAGTAACCCCTGTGCATCGCCGGGTGTGACCCAAAAAGAAAAAAATAAGAAATGAATGAAGGCCACGGCTAGAGGAGGAAGGTGGCTTGGCACCAAAACCTAAACAAAATGTCAAGCCAGGCTGTGGGGCCAAGTCTGCAGTTCAGGCGTGCTGGGAAGGTGAGAGAGACCACCAACCTGGCACCGGGCACCTCCAGTCTGGCACCGGGCCTCCCCCCGCCCCTCGCCAATGCAATCATCTCCTCCCTCCCTGCCTCCTTTTTTCCTCCCAGACAAGTTCACGATGCCGGTGCCCAGCGCCCGGGAGCCCAACCTGGGCCAGAAACCACAGTTCCTGGTGAGGCTGCGGGCTCACCTGCTGCCCCGTGGCAGTGCCTGCTGCATGAGCTGTGCCGTGCGGGGCTGGCCCCGACCCCGCGTCACCTGGTTCAAGAACGGCCAGAGCCTGGCGGGGAACCCAGCCGTGCACAGCACCGACATCCTGGGTGTGTGCTCCCTCATCCTCTCCAGCGTCTCCCCCGAGGACGGGGGCGAGTACCAGGCTGTGGCCGAGAACATGCTGGGCCAGGCGGTCAGCACCACCACTCTCATTGTCATGGGTAAACATGGGCGAAGGTGGGGTCAGGGGCGGGGAGAGGCTGGTCACCTGCCCTTCCTCAGAGTGTCCCCCGGGGGCCTGTCTCCTGTGCTACATCTGTGGGGAGCATCACTGGGTCTCAAGGCTTCGTCTGTGCCACCCCTGAGCCACCTCCCAGCATGCAGCTCACCTCAAGGGGGAGAGCCAGAGGCTAATTTATCTCCTCTTTGCACCTTTGCATCTGCCTCCATACGCCCCCATCCCGGCATACAGGACCCGGAGCATCAGAAGACCCTCTCCTTGGTCATCAAGTCTCCTTCCCAGTAAAACAAATAATACTTGTCAAAAAGAAAAAAAATACTGGGATGGAGTGATAGTATGGTGGGTAGAGTTTTTGTCTCTCATGTGGTCAACCAGGGTTTGATCCCTGATAGCCCATATGGTACCCTGAGCACCACCAGGATTAATTCCTGAGCAGAGAGCCAGGAGTAAGCCCTGAGCATCACTGGGTGTGGCCCCAAAACAAAATCACACCCCCCAAGTACTTAGAACACCAGACATCTTAAACAGAGAGTATCTCCCCTGAATACTTGCTGCTATTCAGCTCTGACTGCGTGTAGAAAAGAATCAGGGTCTGAAGGGGGTTGTGGGGACCCCAGGGCCCAGGGAAGGGGTATGCCTGAGACCGGGGAGTATGGGGGGCCTCTGGATGTGACACCAGGTCCCCTGGCGGAGCAGCCCTCACAGTCAATGTCAGGGGTGGGAGCTTCCCCTGGGGTCCTTCCAGAATGTGGGTGTTCGTGTCTTGCAGATTCCAGCTCCTAGCCTGCCTCAACCTGGATGACCCACCTGGGAGGGTACACCATGATGGCAGATCACTGAGAAGGCTCACTGGGCTCCTGCTCTGGTGCCCAGGACAGGGGGCACCACCCATGCCAGAGCCTGGGGAGACAGGCAAGAAGGGCCTGGAGAGGACCCCAGGAGGATGCAGAGCCCTTGGGAAGAAAAGGAAGGAAGGACCTAGAGCGTCAGCCCCAAGCCACGTCAGTGTCCAGACGGCTGCACCTCTCTCTGGCCACTTCTGGACCTGCTGAGGGCAGCCTGCTGCAGAAAGGGGGCCGAGTCCTCCTTCAGGCGAGTCCTGGACCGCAATGCGCCCGGAGGGGAGGCGGAGGGGCCATGTGTGCTGTGGTGTTTTCTGTCTCTATTTATTAAAACATTCAACTGACAAATGCACAGCATTGGTGCTTCCCTTGGAGTCAGGAGTCAGAGGGCGGACTCCCAAGGTGGGCTGGAGCCTGTGGGTTCTGGCCTGAAGATTCAGGACCCTTCTGGGCCTGATGTAGGGCTTGCGGGGATAGAGTCCCCCTCTTCCGGCCCAGCTGCCCACACCCCACTGTCTGGCTTCCTGGAAGGCCTATGTGGAGACCGGCTATATGGGATCCGCCGTTGGCCACCCCTTTGGGCTGGGAGGGGCTGAAGCACATGCTTTGCCGGGTCACCCCAGCATAGCCAGGAGGGACCCAGTGAACACAGTCTGAGAGACACTTAGGTGTCGGGACCTGCCTCCCGGCCTCTGCAGGCCCTTCTCTCCTCTGCCTGACTCAGGGCGCAAAGGGGCACTGCTCTGTGACCCGCCTCTGTTCCCTCACCTGCCATCACCCTTCAGTCATGGCTCTCCCACGCTCAGGCTCCCAGGTAATGCTCCCAGGGTGCCCAGGCGGCAGCAGCAAGTCCCACCCTCAGCTCCGGGTGCCCAAGCCCAGAAGGCGCTAAGCCACCGGAACCAGCATCTCTCGGGGTCCTCTGCTCCGATTCTGCTCTGTGTGGCCCTTGCATCCTCTTGGAGGAGGCGGGGCAAGTGGCATCCTCTGTCAAGGCACTGGAGAAGGATGAGCCACATGGAAGAGGGACTCTGGGACCAGGAGGCATTCACTGGCCACCCCAGAGGGGACCCCGAGTGTGTCCCCGGAGGGAGGCAGGCAGGCAGGCGGTATGGATTTGTTTCCTTAGGTCGTGACTCCATAACTTCACAGCCACCCCTGTCTGGTGCTGGCAGGCCCAAGCTGGGGCATGGGGAGAAGATGAATTCTGGGAAATGAAGCTGCAATGAGCCCCTCAGCCTTGGAGCTCAAGCCTGAGGGCTCCCCACGCTGCAGGGGTGAGGGCTGCAAGGGTAAGGGCTGTTGTTTGTACTCTTGTTTGCAATACAGGTACTGGAAGGTTATCATGCAGATCTCTTTATCTTGATTTAGTGTAAATCTTAGCACTTTCGCTATTTTAATTTTTTGCAGTTATGGATGTTCACCAAAAATATTAGTTTAGACTGGAACTCCAAAGACCTATTAGATTCTACAATAAATCTTGTTGAATTTACTTTATCATATGTCTAGATATCAATAATATCCCTTTTAACCCATGACTCTTATCTTTTTTATTTTTTTGCTTTTTGGCAATGCTCAGGGGTTACTCCTGGCTCTGCACTCAGGAATCACTCCTGGCGGTGGGTGGGGGACCATAGGGGACGCCAGGGATCGAACCTGGGACGGCCGCATGCAAGGCAAACACCCTACCTGCTGTACTATCGCTCGGGCCGAATCTATCTTATTTTTGATGTGTTTCTTAATAAGTTGAGTAACCGAGTATATGCGATTGGGTCTTAGCCACTAGATGGCGTTCAAACTCTGTACAAGGCCTGTTGGTTCCCAAGCATCCTTGCACAATGTTCTGGGAAGTCTTAGAGAAAGTTATACTCAGATACTAAGTGACAAAGCGCGTTTTCCCTATATGTATTGGCCCTCTGCATGTCTTCTCTGAGAAACAGTCTGTTCTGCTCTTCTCTCCATTTTAAAATAGGATTATTTGTTTTTCTGTTGCAAAGTTCTGCAAGTGTTTTATGAATTATTACCCCTTTGTCTGATGAAGTGACAAAATTCTTAATTTGATGTAATCCCATCTGTTTGCTTAAAAAAATTTTTTTGTATCAAATCACCATGAGATAGACCATTACAAAGCTGTTCATGATTGGGTTTCAGTCATACAATGATCCAACGCTCATCCCTTCACCAGTATACATTTCCCACCCCAATGTTCCTTTTTCCCTCCCACCATCCCTCCCAACCTCCCCAATTCCCCCCAACACCCTACACACAGTCTGCCTCTATGGCTTGCACTTTTTTCTTTCCATCTCTCCTTTTGTTCATAATGGTTTGCAGTACAGGTACTAAGAGGTCATCGTATTTGTTCGGGAGTTCAGGGCATTCAGATAAAGTACCTGGTACTTTTATCGAGGTCAGGCTGAAGTACCTTTTTCAACTGGGTGGCAGCTTTGGGGTGTGGACATGACTGCCGAGGCTTCTGGAAGTACAGGGAGGGCAGGTAGTCCATCCTGACCCCGAGAAGGCCTGGAGATTTCAGTCACAAAACCCTCAAACTCGAATTTTCAGCAGATTATATCTGAGTGAGGTCCGTCTTGAGACGTGGATTCTGGCTGGGGCATGGAGGCAATTTTGGATTGTGGAAGCAAGTGGCTGCCGGGGCTCTGCATGGGCGGGCACCAGGCTGATCCACTCCACTCCAATTTACCCCAGTCTGTTCAGCCTTGCGTGGGGCCACGATTAACTAGGCTTTTGATAATTTTCGAGATTTATTTATGGGTCTCTGAAGCAAGGCCAATAAATGAGCTTGTATAGCTGAGTCAGAGGTGGTTTGTGGGTGTGACTCCCACATACCTAACTTTTGGCCATTTATTTTCCTGAGAAACTTGGTTCGGAGTTGTTGGGGACGGGCCAGAGGCAGTTTTGGGGTATCAGAAAGTCTGAAGGCACCATCGGATGCTGATGTAGTTGCCCTGTGGGTACAGGTTGACCTGCTCATGGTACCACATCCCCACCTCCCATTTGTTTACTTTTACTTCAATCTGCATGACCACTGGTGTGGTTTATTGAAGATGCCTTTCCAGTCTGTATTATGAAGGATTCTGCCTATGTTTGCTTCAATGTAGTTTATGGATTTGGTTCTAATATTGAGATCCTAATTTTATTTGTTTGTTTGGGGGCTACACCTGGTGGTGTTCAGGGATTACTTCTGGATATGTGCTCAGGGATCACACCTTAGGGGCTTAAAGGACCAAATGGGATGCCAGGAATCGAACCTGGGCTGGCCGCATGCAAGTCAACTGCCCTACCCCACGTACTATTGCTCCAGCCCTACTACTTTGACTTTAAAAGGGAAAATACATCTGTGGTTGCTCTTCCCTCCAATGATGGGGACAGAGAGTGATTTTCAGATTAGATCTCAGAAAGGCTGAAATGGGCGAGGCATGTATGAGGCACAAGAATAACTGCTAACAGGAAGGAAATAGCTGTTTCTTTGGTAAGTAGGTAGAGTTCTGCTGAGTCTGACCAACGCTCAGTAAATATTTCTTGGGGGGATGGAAGGAGTGAATTCAATCACTGATTCCAAATGTAATTGTCATAACTTTAATGCCATTTCTAATCAAAGCTAAGATAATGAACCTGAATTAAGCATAATGAGACTCAAATGGTGGATATCATAGACCCCCATTCCATTTCAAAAGGAAACAAAATTTAAAATATACTCTACAAAGACATGAACGATTGTCGAGGATTCCACTGAGAATCTTTTTCTCATAAAAATGAGTCTTAACGGCTACAATAAAGAATGTAGAGTGCAGTAGTGTTAATGAATAAGTAATGGTTTTTCAAAAATAAATAAGGAAACGGTGCTTGGATAATTGATAATTTTACTTGGGAGAGAGGTAGCACAGCGGTAGGACGTTTGCCCCTTGCACACAGCCAGCCTGGCCGAACCAGGTTCGATTCCTTCGCCCCTCTCGAAGAGTCCGGCAAGCTACCGAGAGTATATTCAATATGCCAAACAGAGTAACAACGAGTCTCAAAATGGAGACGTTATTGGGTCCGCTCGAGCAAATCAATGAACAACGGGAGGACAGTGTTGTGTTGTAAAGAAACTGAACATGGGATGGCACAGTGGCAAAAACACCTGCCTTACAAGCCTGAAGCCTTGGGTTCAATCCTTGGCACCTGAGCACGTTGCCCAACTCTGTTATTTGGAGTCCTGGCACCACAATAAAGCATATCATCTCCAGTTTACTGTGTGTGACTGCTAGTCACTGAATACCAATACAAAGAGCTGGGAATAAAAATGAGAGAGAGAGAGAGAGAGAGAGAGAGAGACAGACAGACAGACAGACAGACAGACAGAGAAGAGAGGAGAGAGAGAATAATAAAACAAACACAAGTATTAGAAAAAGTAAAAGTCCTTGTTCATTTCATCTGGAGGCTGGGATAGTCTCTTGAAGGCTAGAATAAAGATTCTTGAAGCTGGGACTGGAGTGATAGCACAGTGGGTAGGGCATTTGGCTTGCATGCAGCCAACCTGGGTTTGATTCCCAGCATCCCTGAGCACTGCCAGGAGTAATTCCTGAGTGCAGAGCCAGGAGTAACCCCTGTGTATCACAGGGTGTGACCCAAAAATTTAAAAATTGACTCTTGAAACTATCTAAAGCCAAGATATAATTGGTTATGTAGCTAAAGAAATATTTAATCTTAAAAAAAGATAATAAACAGAGGCTAGGGAATGTAACCCAGTGGTAGAACATATACATACACCCACAAACTGAGCAAACAGAAGACCATAAACAGACCTAGAAGACTAGTGGAAATTTTTGGTCTTAAACATTATAGCATTTATGAGAATAAAAGATCTAATGATAAATGAACTGTTTTTCCAACTCAATAAGAAAATATAAAAAACTATCATAGATGCTTTGTACAAAAGGAAGCATATAATTTATTAAATGATCATGTAGCTTATTCAAATGTGAAGGTGATTTTTACAGTTGCATGTGTCTCATTATCAAATTGTCAAGAGTTTAAAATAACTGTAACATGTAGCTTTGCCAGGGTATCAAGAACAGCGCATCTTTGTATACTTTTATGTATATTGTCTATACACTGCATAAAACATGAATTAACATGTAGTAGATGCTTAACGTGTAAAAATATTTTGGCAATGTAGCAATTTCACCTGTCTGCATTATTATCATTATGGAAGCAAAATAGAGACTTTTGGAAAACAGAAGTTGAGAGAATTTACTACCAGTAAACCCTGAATTATTTCCATTCCTTAATTTAGATAGAAAAATTAGCCCTATGGGGGTATGGTGCCGCCAGCAGATCAATCTGTACCTGTGAGGCGAGTGCATCAGCAGACTGATGGTGCCTTCAGACTTCTAGATACCCCAAAATTGCTACTATGCCTTTGGCCAGACCCCAACAACTTGGGGCCAAGTTTACCAGGAACATAAACGACCAAAAGTTAGGTATGTGGGAGACACACCCACAAACTACCTCCGGCTCAGGTTGGTGGCAGGACCTCTCTGGTTCCTGATCAAACTGCTTAACAGCCATGATCCCAGAGACTCAGAAACAAATCTTGGAACCCAGCAGCTTTTGGCAGAAATGCGTCCGGTCCCTGCAGTAGGTTACCGACGCCGGGCCACCCCAGGTGAGAATAGGTTTCGTGCCTTGGCCTGTTCCCCTGGCAACTCAGTGGTCGCCATCCTCCAGAGGCCATTGGACAGTCAGGTTTGGGCCCTCAGTGATGAGACACGCAGGGACTCACGGGATGGGGGTGGTGGAACCAGCCCTTTCCTACCTGCCTCAATGAGACCCCCGGCCATCGCCCATGAATGACCTCTCTGGCTCCTGGTCAAGCTGCTTAACAGCCAT